CGACCCTAACCTGACTGGGATTCGTGAGAGGTGCAGTGACGAAAGACGAGCCAGAGGCAGACCTTAATCCTGCGGAACCTGAAGACCAGGAAGCTGGCGCTCGGCGTGACCTTTCGAAGTTGTGCACTGGCCGACCACTGAAAATGGCTGTCCCTAACGCAGTTTCCTCACCCGATGTTACTTCGCCAGCCTCGCCTTCAATAGACTTACCGCACGCGGCAGAACAGCGGAACCGAGCATGGCAGGGAATCAACTCGGAAATTAGGCTGGGTTATCCGGCACACCCCTTAACCAGAAGAGTTGTAGAACAGCAAGTGTGAAGTGCAGCCTGGAACCCAGCCGACTTCCAGCCAGGACTCCTGCGAGCAGGCAGCGCTGTATTTCGAACTCCATAACGAGGCGCGAAGATAAAGCCGTAAACCAACACCGAGTGCATGAGACGCGATTAGAGGAAGCAACTTGCCGGAGAGAGAGCATAAAGGAACACTAGACCCAGACCCAAGCAGGGCGAGAGATCACACGGGCAGAAGACGAGCGCGGGACAGACACCCTATCACCAGAGACAGACGGCCAAGACACTGGCACGTGGTGCGACCCCGAGGAAGACGCGCCGTTGATGCGCTTAAAGAAAGTGCCCATCAACAACACTTTCCACCCGATGTCGCGTTGCCTGCACCGCCCGAGACGGATCTACCACGCACAGCAGCGCAGCCGAACCGGGCATGGCCCGGCATTATTACGGCAACACAGGCTGGGCCCACAGACCCGCCGCCGATGCCAGAAGCGAAGTTCGAATTGAGGTACGAAGCGCAGCTCGAACCCAGCCGGTTTCCAGCCAGGTCCCCCGCGAGCATGCAGCTCGCTATGGCGCCGCTACTTGAACTCCACAACAGGGCACGATCACCAACTCACAACCAACGCCTGTGTGCTAGCCTTCTTAGAGGAAGGGGTGCGCTTCACCTGGGTGGGACGCCCGGCTTGGCCCTCAGTTCTGCCCACAGCGCCGCAAGAAGCACCGTATAGTCCTCCAAAT